AATCTATACCAGCTTCGGGCATTTATATATTAGCCATGAGTAAGTTTTGGAGCTGAAATTATCAGCACACTGTAGAACTGCTTTCATGAATTACTGAGCTAAAGTTCTCATAGCTACTAAAACTTCTGTGCTTTCAAAAACAATCATAAATACAGGATAGAGCTTTGTACAGAGTGAGACATATAGCAAACCTGAGTTAAGCAGTAGGGATGATTTCTGTAACTCAATGTAGGACAAAAAAAAAAGTAGTATTTTCGCTTGACTAAAGTGTACATTATTTTAGAATCAATTCCACGTACTCCTAGATCCCTTTTAAAGTATAAAATAAACTTCCAATCTTAATAAAATATTCAATATGAAACAATTTAACTCATTAACCATGGAAACAATGACACATTTAAGCAAAATTACTGTCATCTAGTATCATTTTGCTAAGTTGAACATTTTTAAATGCAAATATTACTTACTCAGTTTATCACGCTCTTTTATAAAAGTTTCAACAGTAAATTAATATCTAAAGTATATGGAAGGACCATCACTAAATAAACTCTACAAAATTGATGTCTAGCCCCTGTAAGCACCCCAAATGCCTGAATCCATTATGAGGGGGGAAAAAAAAAAGATTTTTCTACCACTATACTCACATTCTCAATCTTATTTCCCTCCTCCCCACTCCACAATCCTTCCCCCTTCCTTTAGGTTTACCCCCTTGATATTCTTAAAATTACTGGTATTAGCTACTTCTCTTTTTCAGGAAGTTCTTGAGCAATCTTTCCTACTGGTATGTCTGGAGCAGTGGGTTTCTTTGGTTAATTTGGGAAAACATTCTTTTGCTGCCTTCAAAATGAAGGCTATCTTGGCGGAGTAAAGTGATCTAATGTAATAATCCATTATACATCTTTCCCCAGTCTTGGAGCAGATGCCCTTGTTTCTTTTATTCACTGGAAGCTCATTCAATCTTTTTAGCTTTGATGAGTTGACTTTTTGTTTTTCTACTTCACATACTTAAACTGTATTAACTGACTGTTTCCTCTGAGAACTAAATACCTGGTCAGTACTAAATGTTCTCTCTCAATTTACAGTTTTTCAAATTAGGAAAAGCTTTCCTAAGTATTTTATTAAATTATCAGTTTCCATAGAGCTTGTGTATTTCCTCTGATCCACCATAGTGAAATTATGTCCTTTTTTTTTTTTTAAACTCCCAAACAGTTTTTCTTCATACCCTTCCAACAGAGCCTCAATTTCCTGTTTAGAAATTATCTATATTTGGTCTTCATGGGATACTGAATTCAAGCCACATGGAAGACTCCTATCATATCCTTTCTTTCATTTCTCAAGACCCTCACAGGGCCAAATTAACTAAAAGAACAACTGACCTTTCTGATAGGGCTTTGCGTCTTGATAAGGGTAGAAAAAAATCAGTGCATATTTATTATTTCTAGGATATCCCAGAGTGACTGTTCAGCTATAAAGATCCTCTCTGGCAGCTTGAGACTGTTAGTTTCAATTTGTTCTTCAGACTTTTTCTACATGTCTGTGACATGACTGTATCCCATTAACTTAACTTTCTGCTCAACACAACCACTGATTTCTGTGGTAAAACAATAATATTTGATATAGTCATACATGTTATTTTCTACATGTATCATTGTCTCTTGAAATGGCTTGTTTTGCATTTGCCGATTTTCAATGTCACTTTTGCTTTGGTTACTCTTAATCAACATTTCCCCAAATTTGTTCTGGGAAACAATGTTTGTAACTCAGTGCTAGCAGATGTTACATTAAAAAAAAAAAAAAAGAGTTTGTAGTTAAGTATGGCAAACACAAAGATAAATAAAATTAGTTTCTTCTGTGACTTGTGAATTTCTAAGAAAAAATATAGGATGTAGTTTTTCCTAATTTATTTTTAGAATGTATACAGATACAGATTTATCCTGCCATATCTAAGGAAACTGGTGATCTGTAGAACATAATTTGGGGAGTGATATTCTAGATGCTGCTATTTACTATCTTCAATAAAGACTTTAGCTTCCCTTAAACTTGTAATAATACAGCAATGCTACTGCTTTTCTTTTTAATATTATTTAGTGTTTGGTATTCATCTTATTCTTATCCCATTGGTTTGTACTTTTTGTGGTTATCTGTATTTCTTATATGCACTCTGGAAATCCTGTGACTTGGTTTTAAAAAAAATACTACAACATATTTTAACTGAGCTAGGGAGTCTATTGTTCTTTTGGTAGGTTTAGAAATTTACTGACATACTTCATTATTGCTCAGTGTTTCTAACTGTGATTTTCCTGAGGTATGTAACCCAAAGCAGTGGTTCCTCTTCTGTTTTTGCAGCATAAATTTAAGAATCTTAAGCTTATATCAATGTAGGCTTATATACTTCTGATGGTGATTTATAAGATGTTCTCAGAATACGCCTGAACCCCAGCGATGAAATGAGAGTGTTAAATTATGGTGATTTAGCAGTCCTTCTATGAGATAATTTAGGAAGACGAATTTTCCTAGACTACCTTAGTAATACCTTATCTACATCAAAGTGTGTAGCATTGAACTTTATCAACAATCAAAAACCAACCGATTCATAGTGTGGCCATGCTGATGTTCTATTAAATGAATGCCTAATTTTTCATTTTGATATGGAGACAAATAGATCAAGCTCGGGCTTAGGGTAAATAGTTTTTCCTTGATCCTATTCTGGACAGCCAATTCTCCTGACTGCATTGGTCAAATGACAGGTAACTGTCAGTGATGAGGTAACTGGTAGGAAAAAACAGGAGATGATGGTAAAACAATCTAATACTAATTGTTTCTCATCTGGCAATCCCACTTTAAAGAATAAATATATTTAATGGTTGCTTATAGCTACATTATTCAAACTATAGGAATACTGAAAACAACCCAACTATCCAACATTTAGGGAACAGTTAGTGAAAACTGTGGTGAGAAGATGAATCTTTAAGAACTAAAATTAAAAATATATTCTATATAAACATAGGAAAGTATATAAGAAAGGAAATTAAGTTAATTTTTACCATAAAATTAAAATACAGAAAATATAGATAAAATTAACACAATGTTTTGCACATGGATAAGGACAAAGCATATATACTAAAAGAATAATTATTTTCAATGGAAGTGTTCTTTATGGTCTTTTGCTTACTATAGCTAGCTAAACATAGAATTTTAAAATACTCTTACAAGGTCTTAGGCAAATGATTTTATCCAGGCAAACTGCATCTGCGGGTATTATATTTTTATCAGCAAATAAATATATGTCTCTAATAAGAATGCACATATATAGAAAGAAACCCAGGTATATAAACTTAAGACACTGTTATGAGTGAAAAAGTATCCCAATTTACATGATAAATATTTAGAAGAAAAACATAACTGCTTCTCTTTGCATGCTCTATTACCCTATCTGAGTCCAGATACAATGAAGTAGTCCTATTTCCTCCAAATTGTCTCACCCCCATAGAAATGATGACGAGAGTTAAAACCAAGTATGTCACATCAAAAGTAATGAGAATATGCAGACACTGTGTACTCAAAGACACAAACGCTAAAAGCAGAAATTTGTTCAGTAAAAAACCAGTAGCTAACTTTAAGTTGGAGTTTTTAAAATTATGGATTCCCTTGCTTAGTGTTTAGAAAGTCCTAAACCAAAATGAACAACTGAAGTTATCTGGGACTGGACAAAGGGAAGAAGAGGGATAACGAAGAACAGGATTTAACACAAAGAGGACAGATTAAGAGGAATACAGAAGCCACCTATATACTTTGAAAACCTCTATGGTAGAATAAAATCTACAGTGAATGACAAGCTGTTTTGCTATTACTAGGAAAGTACCTGAGAGACAGGAACAAAGGCACGCAGCCTTTCTCATTAAATGTTTATCGCTCTGCTTAAGCCTGTTTGAAGGAGCACAGAAACACATGGACTAGTATACTAGGTAAGATCCACTCTTGTCCCAGCCGGACTGCTGAGACTGACACAAATCTGATTGATATGCAAATGAAGTCTGTGACTGTTTTTCCTTGATGTCAGCTTCTAACACTGTTGACATTAAAAGTGACGTCCACTAATGACTCTGAGTGGACACTTGGGTTGTTATTCATAAAGTTGCCCAAAGCCTTTTGAGGAAATAGCATCTATGCCCTTCATGAGCATGATACAAAAATCTTTTCTTAATCTACTGATAAAAAGCAGCTAAAAATGAAAAATTTCTTCTTTGCTCTGAGCAGCAGATAATCAAAGAAGCCTAACCTAGGAACAGCTGCAAAACACTTTACAAGGACTTACTGGCCTACAGGACTTCTAACTGGGAAGGAGAATATCTCACTCATTTTCTGAAATACTAATTTTTATATCTCACTTGCCAAGCTTTCTTTATTTCAAATTTTTTTTTATTAAGCTAACATTATACTAACATCTCTGATGACTCAGTGGGTGAAGAATCTGCCTGAAATGCAGGAGACATAGGGGACAGGGGTTCAATCCCCAGGTTGGGAAGATCCCGTGGAGGAGGAAATGGCAATCCACTCCAGCATTCTTGCCTGGAGGATCCCATGGACAGAGGAGCCTGGCAGGCTACAGTCCATGGGGTCACAAAGAGTCAGACATGACTCAGTGACAGGGATATATACTAACATTAAAATAATTTTTAAAGAAAGAAATCCACAAACTTGCCACTCTACTAAACCTCCTGACTTTGTCCATAGGCATATATAATTTGTAGTTTTAATAACATGATACGTAACCTAATGGAGCCAGGCTTTTTAAAAGGCACTGTTTAACATTTTTTGACATGCATGTTCTGCTGAACTTTCCCAGTGTGCTCACTCAATTAGCACATTATAAAAGAAATTCAGTATATGCTAGAGGCCAATCAAAATGTGAAAATTTAATGGATACCACGAAAGCCATACAGAAAATATGATTTTAAGACACTTCATAATTCCCATTTATAAGCCACTTTCCATCTTACCTCTGCTCCAGACAGATAGTAGGCTGAGATTAGTCCACCAACAAAGCGTATATTTACTTCAAAAACAGAAACTTCAGCATTCTGTGGGAAACAGAATAAAGGAGGTTCATGTATAAGTGGTGGGATACAATCGAGAAAAATATCACCATGAAAAGTGCATGAAATACTTAAATTTTGTTCAATCTTAGATGCTTCCTCAGAGAACTTTATACACAACAGGAAAAAGCTTTGTCTTTTAACTGTGTCAAATATATGTAAATATTATAGATAATTTTGACTCTTAAAATAACAATTATGAAAATATTTATAAAATGAAGCTATCTCCTCCCTCTATTCAGTAGAGGTTAAGTTCAGTTCAGTCACTCAGTTGCGTCCAACTCTGTAATCCCATGGACTGCAGCACACCAGGCCTCCCTGTCCATCAACAACTCCCGGAGTTTACCCAAACTCATGTCCACTGAGTCGGTGATGCCATCCAACCATCTCATCCTCTGTCATCCCCTTCTCCTCCTGCCTTCCATCTTTCCCAGCATCAGGGTTTTTTCAAATGAGTCAGCTCTTTTCATCAGGTGGCCAAAGTATTGGAGTTTCAGCTTCAACATCAGTCCTTCCAATGAACACTCAGGACTGATTTCCTTTAGGATGGACTGGTTGGATCTCCTTGCAGTCCAAGGGACTCTCAAGAGTCTTCTCCAACACCACAGTTCAAAAGCATAGATTTTTTCGGCGCTCAGCTTTCTTCACAGTCCAACTCTCACATCTATACATGACCACTGGAAAAACCATAGCCTTGACCAGACAGACCTTTGTTGGCAAAGTAATGTCTGCTTTTTCATATGCTGTCTAAGTTGGTCATACTTTTTCTTCCAAGGAGCAAGCGTCTTTTAATTTCATGGCTGCAGTCACCATCTGCAGTGATTCTGGAGCCCCCCAAATAGTCAGCCACTATTTCCACTGCTTCCCCACCTATTTGCCATGAAGTGACGGGACCAGATGTCATGATCTTAGTTTTCTGAATGTTGAGCTTTAGGCCAACTTTTTCACTCTTCTCTTTTACCTTCATCAAGAGGCTCTTTAGTAGAGATTACAATACTCAATATTCTCTGTGCAGATGTGACAGGCTCAGGATATCCTATTATTCTGATCTGTGTTCTTTTATTTTATTCATTTGACTGCTTGGCCATAAGGACTCTATACATTGGCAGGTAGTTCAACATTATTCTATAACTCTTCCCGCATCATTTTAGAATATTAATAGCACAGCTAGAATGTAAATAGGATCTGAAGTTGGAGCAGCGTGGGTTCTAGTGCTGGATCTCAAATATCCTGCTTTTGGTCTGGGATGGTCCTATTTCTTTGAGAATAAGTTTCATCTCTAAGTAAAGGATTATGTGTTGGACTTCACAGGTGACTCAGTGGTAAAGAAGCCTCCTGTCAGTGCAGGAGATGTGGGTTCTATCCCTGGATTGGGATGATGCCTTTGAGTAGGAAACGGCAACCCATTCCAATATTCTTGCATGAAAAAATCCCATGGACAGAGAAGCCTGGTGGGCTACAGTCCATAAGGTTGCAAAGAGTTAGACATAACTGAGTGACTGAGCGCTGAGCAATATATATGTTGAACCTTGTTAAATTAGCTCTTATATACACCAATAATAGCTTGCTTTTATTATTATTTACAAAGTAGTATATCAAGGATTATAGAGTCATATAGTCTCTTTATATGACTAAGTCTTTTAATCCTCATACCAACTGTATGAAATAACTGCTATTCTTTTGTCCATTTTACAAATGGAAAAACAAAATTATAGTGGTTATTGTGACTATTTTAAGGTCAGGCAATTAATAAGTGGTTGAATCAGGATTTAAACTTGAGTACTCTGATTCATGGTCTAGGGCTCTGTTATCCTCATTCCTGTGACACCTCACAAGATAATACATCAGGTATCTTTATTTATTAATGGTCATATAATTCTGGCATATAATCAGTAATTATTGCTAATAATTGTTTTATAATATTTGACTACTACATGGATCTGTCCAACATTCTATTATAGATAATTTAGCACAGCTAACCTACAATAGAAGTTAGATGTACTTTGTTATCGAACCAAACTTTGGGTCTGCTTGCCCACACAACAAAGCCAATCTACTGACACTGGATTGCAGTGAAGGAAAGTACAGTGTTTACTGCACGATGCTAATGAGAACAAGGGCAGTTCAGGCTCAAAAGACCTGAACTCTTGATGGCTCTGAGGGAAGGGCTTTTAAAGGCAGTGTGAGGGAGGGGACTGTAGGGTGCATGATCAGCTCATGCACCATTCTCAGGATTGGCTGGCATCAAGGTAAAATTTCAAGCATCATCAATATTCTGTTTTCAACTAGACTAGGGTCTGTGTGCTTACAGTCAGCAGCTTTCATCTGGGGTGGGTCTGTTTCCTGTAAAAATAACACAGGAATGTGTGCCAGGCCTTTATCTATATCTTTCAGGGAACTGGGAGTTCAGTGATTACGCTATGTGGCATATTTATAATCTAAATTGCTACCAGGTCCCAGGCCCGAAAGCTATTTTTTGTTTCTACATTTCCACATTTCCTAATCATTAACTCTTGAGCCAGCCTTTTGAGACTCAAGAGAGGCCTGGAAGACTAAAGTAAAAGTCTTTTCCTTCAAAGGATGGGGACACAGGGCTTGTATATTGTTTCAACGCTAAGCTTTTGTTAAGCTTCTTTTCATGGTCACTGGGCCTACACGATAATTGTTCACTTTTGCCTGACATCAAATCATTCCCTGAAATCACAGAGGCTAATAGCAAACTAATATATGGAGTCAATATCCAGCAGATGAGCTGAGTCACAATTTTCAGAGAAATTATTTCCTTTAACAACCGTTTATTAAGCAACTACCATGTGCCAGGCACCATCCTGGGCTCCAGGGACACAGGAATGAACACTCAGGTCCTCAACTTACGGAGTCTACATTTTAGTGGAAGAAAACAATTTCAGGAAAAAAAGGGTATGTATTTTCATTTAATTTCCACATGTTACCTCTAAAAAGGTGTAAGGATCTCACAAAATAGAGCTAAGTAATTGCTTAAGTTACAACTTTGTTTTTCAAAAAATTTCTTGCAAAAGGAAAATCATGAAAATTACTTATAAGAGACAATGCCTAGGTTAGAGTTAGGGAAAACCATCATAATATATGACTCTCTGGTGAGTTCGTTTAGTTGTATTCCCTAATTTGTAATATGTACCAAATACTTAATATAATTTGATTAGAGAACTTTACATAGTAATAATTTATCTGTGATGTGTATCACGCTGAATGAGTATCATATAAATATTGGTAGAAGCTTTAATGTTCAACAAAATTACTGATAAGGAAAAAGGAAGGAAATTATTTATTTTTGCTCATACAGCCATTATTCTTATGTCTAAAACCCTCAAATCTTTTCACTCTCAATTTGTACTTGTGGTTTTTAGTTTTTAAACCTAAGAACAGTCCTCCACATTTCTGCCTACTGAAGCATGTTGATTTTATATTCTTATTCTAGCTTTGGGTTCATTTGCTATACATTTTCTTTTCCTCCTATGAAAACTTTGGATAACTGGGACTTTCATATAAATATCTGATAAATATTATTTCAAAGTAGAGGACTGAGCCATGTCAAACACCATCATAAATATATCTTCAGCAAGACATCAGTCACTTACAGGGTACAGCTGTTCAACCACTTATTGATCCAGCAATGTGTTCTAGAACCTAAATTCTATTTATCTTCCTCTGTCCGAAGATATTGAGAGATGGTTTTGCAAAGTGCCCTGCTCAAGGTCAGTGCTTTGTCTTTTGAATTTCTCAGATCTAATAGTTTGGTGAAGCCTGTCCAAGAAGCAAATCTGGCTTGTTAGTGAATCCATGCAGGTTCCTAGTTCCTTGTGTTCCTGTCTTTAAAGATCTCATTCAGGAATGTCAAATCACCATTAGTCATACACAATAGTCATCATATTTACCTTCTTCTGAAAGCCAAAACTAAATTTGAATTCCCAATATATAATTTTTTATCCCCCCCCCCAACAAAGTTAAATCCAACTTATTTGAAACCTAAGTTTGAGAGCTTTTAACATTTGGGGTTATACTATGTTTTAGGTAAGAAGATTGAAATTTATATACTTTAGGTCACTCTTTATAGATCTGTAGATGAAAAGGACTAAAAAGATAAAAACATAACATCTTGCTTGGCTATAGTGGGGGCAAAAGACTATAAAAACACTGCTCTAGAGGCAGAAAGACCTGGTATTGAAGGTTGGTTCAGGAGACAGCTAAATGTGAGATCCCAGGCAAACCACATATTCTGAGTCTTGGTTTTCCCATTTGTAAAAAGGGACCATGCACTTTTTACAGGGCACTATGAGTCCGTGCATTACACACAATGCCTGGTACAGGTAAAAGTACCCAGTAAAGAGTTGCTGACATTACACTGCACAAACCTCAGCTGAAGTAAACCAGTAAGGCCTAGCTTCCTCAGGGGTGAACAGCAAACCAGAAACTGCAGAATCATAATCTTCTAAATACTAGAATGCAAACTGATCCTTTTGGGAGTCATGTGCCATACCCTTATAAGTGAGTTATGTTTCAAATCCTCTTTTTGAAATATAGTATCCTGACCAAACTTCCTTTTGTGCTTAAAGTACTTTGTACGATATCTGGATTTTCCAAAGTGAACTTCTACAATCTGTGGGTTTGAGGCCAATTTTATAAATGTCTGATTCTAATTTACATGAAAATAAACTTATTAAATTTGAATGAAGATATGCATCCTATTAATATTAATGCAGCATCTTTTCAGATGCTCTGAAACTTCTCCAGTGATTCACCCTAATGACAGAAGAGGGGTCTGGGCAGGGAGAGAACAGTATGTGAAGGATGGGAGCCCCAAACAGCCTGCAAGACTAAAATTTTGTGTGATTTATCTTAACAGTGTAGATTTTGTAATCTCCTTCAATTCGTGTTGTTTTTTTTACATATGTAATCTTTAAAAAATTTAAAAATGGGAGTATAAGTGCTTTAAATGTTGTGCTCAT